CTGGAGTTTTGAAAAAGAAAAGTGAAACTGTGAGGCCTGCATCTTAGAAAGTTCACTCCAAACGTAGCGTAGAATAAGGGAGCATCCGATTTGGAGAAACCAATAAAAAGACCAGGCAACAATTTAGTAAGAGGAGAGCCTAAACCAAAGCAGTATAGTTAGAAAAGGACAAACTCCAGAAACAAGTAAAAGGTGACTGATAGGATGTAGGCAGTGACAAAAAAGAGAGGGTTCAAAAAGTCATGCCTGATGGATGGGGAGGTTTTAACTGAGATGGAGAACATATGAAATGCAAATATTGGGGAAAAATAAATAGTTCATTTTTGAATAAGTGTCTGAGCTATTTGTTAAACATCAGGATAGAGACGTTCCACAGCCAGTTGGCAAAATACAAATCTGAAGCATAAGAGATAGTGGGGGGCTAGGAGGTACATGTTTAAGAGTATCTATGTGTGACAGGCATAGTTATAGGTGCAAATGAGATAATAACTAACATCTACTGAGCGCTTACTATGCCAGGTACTGTACTAAGCATCTCGATAGATGATAAATTAGGTAGATGATAGATAGATATAATATACACACACACACACACACACACACACATATTTCACACACACACATACACACACACAACTAATCCTGTGAGGAACCCTTATTCTCATTTTACACACATAGAAACCAAGTTTTAGAGCACCAACATGCCAGGGTCACAGGGCTGGTAAGCTCAATGCTGACTCCAAATCCTGGGCTTACACTACCCCAAAAGTGAAATGAACTATAAGAAGTTATTTGGCAGGGAAGGAAGTGGGGAGAGAGGGCATTGAAGAGAAAGAAGAGGATCAAAATATACTGAGTGCCAACTTTTGTCAGCCATTGAAAGAGGCACTTTCTATGCCTTGTCTTCTTTAATCTTCATATCCAACCATTAAAATTGATATTATTAGCCCCATTCTCCATCTGGGAAATTTGCTCAAGATCATAGCGCTGATAAGTGGTGAAACTAGAATTTGAACCCACTTCACCTAACTCCAAAGAATTTATTATTCTATTATATCAAAGAACATATACAATGAGAGAAAAGAAGGGCAGAGAATGTGATATATCAAGTGAAGTGAAATGCGCAACAAAAATATTATTCTATAACATGCAATCAGAGAGATAGAAAATGAATCAGGAACAAGAGGATTTTAAGACAAGTGGTCAATAGATCAAATGCTGTATAAAAGTCAGGCTGAGGACTCAAAAGCTCATTTTATTTAATAACAGGCTTTGGTGACCTTTTTGAGAACAGATACTGTAGAATGGTGGGTTAAAAGTCAGATGGCAGGGAACTGAGAAGACCTCAGGAAGTATAAAAACAGAAGCAGTGTGGAGAGGGGAAAGGGTATTAGATGGAGAAGAAGGTAGAATAGAGAATGAAGGAGTTTTAGTACGAAAGGACATTCCTAGGCTGAGATGAGGGGTTAATGAAGGAGGAACAGATACAAGGGGAGGGGTGTGAATGATGCAGCAAGCTTCCAGAGGAGAGGAAATTGGCCACTTCCTCCTCTGATAGTGAAGAGGCAGGAATAAGTACACACACAGGGAAATTTGGAAGTGGGGAAGAGGGAAGTTGAAGGAGCCCAAATCCAGTAGCCCCTCTATTCATTATGAATTTGGAAGTGGGGAAGAAGGAAGTTGAAGGAGCCCAAATCCAGTAGCCCCTCTATTCATTATGTAAAATGAGAATAAGGGTTCCTCACAGGCAGTTTATCTGTTGAGAGTGAAAGGGACAGGGAGAATAAAGGAAGATTCAGGAAAGAAATCCTGTGAGAGGTTGGAAGGAACAATGACTGCCAAAGATTTCCTGGTGGCACCAGGACTCAATAGGGCTGGAAATCATAATTCTGTAATT